AAGACAATTTACATGAAGAGGGAAATGTAAATGTTTGTCAGACAATGCTTTGCAGGGCCACCTACAGAGAATGTGGCCGGAGAGACAGGAATTACAGTAATCAAGAGTATGTAGATTTAAGTCTTCTTCTTCCGTCCTGATAAGAGTTTTCACAAATAAGGTCATCCCCCCTCTTCCCACTACACAGAAGGAGATACCCTTACAAATGTAAATATTTGGTAAACAGAATTTGTTAAGAATGGGCTTAGCAAGGATCCTGCCAGTCTGTCTACACCCAGAGTTAAATTCCTTTAGGCAGGGGCTGGCCCGGTGGAGCAGGCAGTTGGGTGCACACACTCCACTGCTGGCAGCCTGGGGTTCACCAGTTCGGATCCCAGGTGTGCACTGACATACCGCTTGGGGCGGCGTCCCATATAAAGTGGAGGATGATGGGCATGGATGTTGGCCCAGGGCCAGTCTTCTTCAGCAAAAAAAGAGGATTGGCAGATGTTAGCACAGGGTTGATCTTCCTCACACACACACACACAAAAATTCCTTTAGGCAGTTTGGGGGAGGTCAAATGTCCGTCAGAGAAAATAATCAAGGTAAAGAGATGTATTTCAGGATGGCCAATTTTGATTTCCCACAGTCCCGCCTTTGAAACTAAAAGTTTCACAGTCCTTTTGAAACTTAAAGAAGTTTCATAGTCCAGAAGCTGAGTTGGTAGATTGTTCCATCTCACTGAACACATTTCTTAGTCCTGATAATAGATCAGTTCAATTAAGTGTATTTTAGAAGGTGATGATGCAGGCGGGCTCCCAAAGTTAGGCCTTATGTATTGTGGAAGTGAGGAATCAAGTATTTAATAAGAAGCATTTCTATGGAAACAAAAGAAAAACAGGGTTAATTGTTGGAGCAAATTGTAAAGCGGTTTCTGTGTTCAGAGGACAGCCAGTTAAGATTTCTAGATGTCAGCGTCAAAGCATCTTTTGCAGTTTAAAATGTCTCTGATGATGTCATTGGGTAATCTCTCAGGTTTATATCAATTCCATTGGTTTCAGTTTGTAAGGCTTCAGCATAAAGGGCAGGTTCAGTTCTTAGTGATTCCAAAAGAAAATGATGGAAAAAATAAAAAACGTTAGTTTGGAGATCTGTAGCCAGATATTTCAGGAGACTAGAAGAAATCAGGAACCAGTCCAGTCAACAGATATAAAACAAAAACCTCAAAAGACAATTAACAAAACTAGGATCTAATATCCGCAAATGTATAGTACAGTTTTTACTGAAATATAATTTTTCTCTCTGAAATCACCCTCATTTTTATCAAAGATAGCCAAATTAAAAATAACTAGTTTGCAATATAAGTTTAGTTTTAATAAACTTGGCCCAATTATTTACATAAGTACAGCAAGAATAGCCATTGATCATATAAGCTCTTTTAAATTTGCTTTGCTGGAAACTTTTTACAAGGAATCTCAGATTGAACTTAAAAAGCCTCTTTAAAAAAGCCTCTCAAGGCCAGGAAAGCCAAGCCAAGGATTTTCTCATCAGACTTCACCTACAATACCTACAGATTTGGGTGAATTCCTCTCTTCCGAGGTTCCCCCAAAATATTTCGAGGTTCCTTGTACCTGCCAGGTAGGTGACATTTTTTACTTATCCAGTAAGTGCTGCTTGGAACATAAGGTACCAGGCCAATATTTCCATGTGGCTTTATTCCGTAAAGTCCAATCTTCATTCCTTAAAAGCTGTATGGTTATATTGCAAATATGATGTTCCAGTCACAGCCTTGGTAATATAACCAGTGTTTCCAATTGTGTCCTGTTATAAGGAGAACAGATTCTTATTGAACTTATGCAAATAACTATATTGCCATGAAGCAAGAATATTTACTTACTAAAAGTTTCCAAATTCTGGAGGGATCAGGTAGAGAGAAAAAAATATTTCAATTTTGCTTACCAAGTTATCATTTACCAAATTGCTATATACATAAGTCATAGCTAGCTCAGGAGAAAAGAGAAAAAGTTTTCCTTAAATCTGAAAAAACAAAACATTAAAAATTCAGCAATACTTTAAATGAAAAATCATAAAAATTAGAATCATCCTCATCAGTTTATTTAGTCCTGTGTAATCAATTTTTGATCTTGATTTTTTTGCTAGCAGCTTCATGAAGTCATCTGTCTCTCCATCAGAGTTCTGTAATTTCTTAACCCATTCAGTTTTATGATCAGAAGGTTTGTCAGAAGCCTATACTCCAGAGTAAATGTTAGAGTCCTTTCCAGGAACTTTTTTGAAGATGAAACATATGTAAAAGCATCAGGGTAAAGAAATAACTATCTGTAAACACGACCCCAAAATGGCAATTGACAAAGAAATTTGGTTAATTCTGTGACATACAACACTTTAACTAATAATAACAAGTAACCAGGATGGATCAGAATTTCAGCACTGTTATACAATTTTAAAATACCTATATCAATAACATTAACCTATTTAATACCACTTAAGAAGGTTTATCATGAACACTTGATCAAGTATGAAACAATGCTCATTATGAAACAGTCAAGGGCAGAAAGAGAGTTAAAACAGCAAAAAAAAAAAAACCTTAATAGAGAGACCTCAGTCCTTTGAACATAGAAAATTATTTTAACAAAACATAGACTTTTTTTGTCTTTTAGGTAGACTTACTCAAAGGTAAAGAAAAACCTTTTATAACCTCTCAGATGAAAAGTTCAAGAAAAATTATCCTTTTAAGAGGAGACCAAATTTTAATTTTGCACCAGCTTACTTCTAATATTAAAACTCTTTTACTTAATTGGATTTACCTTAATCCCAGCGAACTTGACCATGGGTTCCTCTTCAACAAACCTTCTATAACTTACTTTTTACATTCAGAATTTGTCCCTTGCCCTCATTTTTTTTTTCCTTCTAGTACTTTGGGACAAACTTATCTTTCTTAACCAACCAAACAAAATATTTCCATTTTTTGTACCTTCTTTATACATCTTACTTTCCTTGTACACAGACATATTTTTCTTAATTTTAGTAGCTTTAATCACATGTAGTAATTAGAATTTTTAACCCTTAGAAACTTTAATTTGTAAGTAAAAACTAAGTAAGCAATTATAAACTTTCTTTTACATTGACATTCTGTGGCTTGGAAAATTTATAAACATTTCATAATTTCTGGAAACATGTTACTTTATACTAAAATCTTTTAATAAAACACAAGACATGTTTACCAATAGACCCAAAACACCTTTTAGTTTTCCTGTAAGAAGCCAAAAGTAGATAAACCTATATTTAGCAGTTAATGTCTAATATCTTATCTTATTTGGAAATGATCTAGATACTCAATGAATTTTTATCATAAAATTTAGCAAAACTCTAGTTTTAAGTCACCAAAAAGAGTTTGGAAGCTGTAACCACCATAACACAGAATTATTGTTAAAAGTTCACTCAACATTTATCTTTTTCACATCGATTTAGTTACTTGTTCCCAATAATTATTTAGATTGCCTACAAGACTTCATAAGACATTAGATAAAATTAGCCATCATTTAAGTTATTATTTTTGTTAACCAGTTCTATAATAGAAATAACATCAGTTTTTCTATAAAATTTCATGTAA